CATAAACACAACCATCATATGGTCTGATTCTGTTTGAATCAGTTAAACACTCCTGTGCTCAACCTAAAACATTTTTAGCATTTACACCGAGAAAGTGTAAAAATAAATTCACCAACACCACGACACCAATTGTGCAGACTAATGAAAATATTTATTTCTTTTCATGTACTCAAGTCAGTCAATACTGAACATTTCAACAAAACATTCATAACAAAACATTTTCCAGTTTTCATACAGTATTACTGAACGTACCATTGTACTGTAAGCTTACAGTAATACTGTCACATAAATTACATATCCAGTTCAGTACCGAATAAAAAATAAAATAAAAACCTAAACATCTCTCCGCCTAGCTGGATCTTGCCACAGGGCGTCGTCAACATCACCGGCTATATTTTCATTTGCAAGGCAACGTGGGAAGAATCTTTTGGAGTGACGAATCCACCCTTGTATGGATGCTGCTTCAATTTGATCACATGCTTCCTCCATAGCTTGAATGAGGGCCATCTGGACATAGGGCCGGAGATCATAAACCTTCCACCGCCATGCTGAGAAGAACTCCTCGATGGGGTTTAGGAAGGGGGAGCAGAACGAAAATTAAGTGGTGAATTTACTAACACCGCAAAACAGCACCAGAGAAAAAATTCCGCGGGTAAAATAGTTTGTCTATCTTCTGTTGCTGGAATTAGATGGTTGAGATGACTGCGGAGACGGATTCTACATTTGTGAGATGGACACACTCCTGTTATTTTCAGTTCATCGGAGAAAAGGATAAGAATGCATAGTCAAGTGCAATATGTGTGACACCAAACTCTCAACATCGAGAAATAGCACAAGTAAAACCTGGAAACACTGGACTGGTGCCACTAACACTAAGCTATCGTAGAGCTGCGGGGTCGGAGAAGAGGAAAAAAAATGGCGGCGGACGAGCGCAGACAAGCAACAAAAATTACGTTTAACTAAAAATAACAAAATCTGTTTTTATTAAGTCATAGTATATATATAAAATGAATGAATATGTGAAATATTTGACTTAAATAGGCTAATTAACAGATTAACAAAACGAAAGGAAAAGACTGAGAGATATGATGCTGAGTTTGATTCACAGGCTATTTGTGTAGCGCGGTGCTCTACGAAAGTCCACGGAAAGGAAACCGAGATGACAGAAATAAAAGTAAACACATTGCAGTCACGAATGATCTGTATGACCAAAAATGACGGAGTATTTTTGTTTATTTGTTTGTTTGTTTCCGCTGTTCGATCACGCCGGCGCCTCACGCACACACATACAGCATTGCAAACGTTGCAGCCTGTTCATTATCAGAATAAAATAGCCAACCAAACATATAGATACACTGGTTAATTTAAATAGTGCGTAGCCTACTGCGTAGTACAATCCGTGTCGATCAGCCTGAGCTCGGGCCAAACACACATTTGCTCATGTGACGAGGATGTTTTTTAAGTGCGTTAAGTAAGCTTGGATTACATAAAGCATTCAAATACATCGCAAATATGGACACATTTAATTTAATTAATGCCGAATGAGAGAGGTAGGCTGCGCGAGAACGCTGTTTGCTTTCAGTTTCGCATTGAATTAGCCTAATTCATTTTGGCTTGTTTAGCCACTTATATTACTTATATTTGTTTTCTTCTGAAACCGTTCAAAATAGCCTATAGGCTAGGTATTGTGTTTATTGTTTGTATTGTTTGTACTTTCACTTTATTTACCGGTGCTATTTATGAATGTAATGATGCGATTTGTGCTTATATTTTTTTAACCTAAACTACAACGTAACATTAATGTAGACCTACATACCGGTATCTAAATATGATTTCATATATTTTATGCTATATAGACCTACCACATAACCCTCCACTGGGTGTAGAATGAGCAGCAATAAACTACATTTTGGCATTTTATAATACTTCTGTGGATATTTTGGTGAAAGTAACTCAAAAGTAACTCAAAAGCAGTGTAACGCATTACAATTTAGACACAGTAATATTGTAATGTAACTAATTACTTTCAAAAGACAGTAACTAGTAATATATAATGTATTACATTTTGGAAGTAACTTGCCCAACACTGATAATGCATAGTTGGATACTACCAACACCATACAGCAACACATCAAAAAACAGATCAGTTGTTTACGAAAATCCTTTCCCGTCAAACATTTTCTAGCTGCATTCTCTACCAATCCAATTTCCTTATAAAAGGGCTTGAATAAAAACACTTGAAAGATCATTTAATATAAATTTAGCAGGGGAGTGGAGCCTAACCAACCACTCAGTCCCTTGGCAGCCATCTTGCTTGTCTAGAACTGAACCTCGGAGTAGAGGAAAAAGGTCGCCAGGTTCAATGAGTCCCAATTTCCCGTGTATGTGTGTGCCATTTACCTGGGGAAGAGATGGCAGCAGAATGCACTGTGGGACACCGATGGAGGGAGGGTGTACTCTGGGCAATGTTCAGCTCTGAAATGTGGATGTGTTACTACACTGCACACATTGTTTGGGAATGATCTGAAGAACATGATGAAGGGTTCAAGGTGTTGTTCTGATCTCCAATTGAATCCAAATGAACATCTGTGGGTTCTACTGGATGGCAATCGAGGCAGCTCAACCTACAGGACTTGAAGGATCTGCCGCTAATGTCTTGGTACCAGATACCATAGTAATCCATACCATACTCTTACAGAGTCCATGCCTCAACAGGTCGACACCGTTTTGGCAGCATGCAACCTTTTTCCTTTTTTGTGTTTGGGGAATGGCTTCTGAGTAACTCTGATGACACAGCTGCAACATGTCTGATGTGATGAAATGGTAAGATTTAAAAGTGTTTACCATATTTCCTGCAGAAGTCGGTAACACTTTCTATGAAGCCCGTATTT